TGTCAAATATCACGTCAACCAACTAAGCTGAAACCGAGCGCCTGCTGCGCTCTATCCTGAAACCAAGCGGATGGCGCGCTTGAAGAGCGAGCCGGCACTGTTCATATGTGCCTCGTGCTCTCGGGCCTGGTCGGTTGGCTCTTGATGCTGCAATGCGAGGCGCGTAACTCGCAGCACTGCCCTGATGGCACTGCCGTCGGATCGCTTGGTGAGCTGATATCCGAGCTGCTGGTCGGTCGGAAACCAAAAGAGAGGCAGCTGGCTACGCTGATCGTCGGCAACGAATTCGTAACTTATTTCCTCTTCTAGTGACTCCTTGAGGCCTACTAGGTCTAACAAAAGGCAGCACTCTGACGGGAGCTTGGAGTAACCGTCTTTGTGCATCGTATCGCACAGGCTAGCGCAATCTGTGACCTGAGCAAGCGGCAGCAAACTCGGGGGAATATCTTCCAGATCTGGAATCCCAAGCGAAGCGAAAGACCAGCGTGTGATCTGAGCACAGCCGAATGCGCCCACTGCTGACATCGTCTCAGCTGCCAAAGTAGATCTGCAAACCCTCTCGATGCTGCCTGATCGCCAATCAACCATTCCCGCTCGCGCCTCGTCGCCGCACAACAGCTTGGCCTCGGCGATGAACGTCGCGTAGCCGGCCTGCGAGCGGATTTTGATATCATTGTCCTTGCTGCCCACTACCTTGGTGAGTAGCGTAGCTATGACACCTTCAGGTGGCTCGTCAGCATTGGCCCAGCTGGCGTCGCGGTAAGTGACCAGGCAAAGTGGTCCACGTAGCTCCGGGAATTCCAGTCCCACGCCCGCGTGCTTCTGCGCCAGCTTGATGAGCCGATTCGTCTCGAGCAGGTCCTGGATGGTGGGCTTGTTCTGGGTGCGCTGTCCCATGGTCACTCCAGCTGACAGGTCTGGTCAAGTCTGCGATGAGAGCCATCCAAGCGCTCCGAGGGCGGAGCGGTTGTCCGAAAACTCGGCTGGCGTCGCCTCCGCCGATAGCTCAGTCTTGCGCTCCTTGCTAAGCGCGATCTCCTCGATCGTGTTCGCGTACTCTGTCTGGCGTAGGTGTAGGACACCCTCCTCATCGCGCCACGCCTGCTTGCAAGAAAAGGTGAAGGCAAACCCCTCCAGTCGCCCCACGGCAGGAGCTTGTCGAGCCGGTCGTACAGGGTCGGGCACTTGGGCGAGACGCCCAGCAGCAGGTCGTCCACGCGGGCGACCACCACCGCGCACAGCTCCCCATGCTTGTCGCAGCCGTAGTACAGCGCTGGATCCAGCGAATGCTGGCGAAGTCGGAACACGTAGTCACCCAGCTTCTCCTCCACCGTAAGCAAGGCCCGATTGAGCTTAGCCCTCGACTGTCGCGGTGCGGTGGCTAGCCCGAAGACTCCCTTGAGGATCTTGCTCAACTGCTTCGGGTGCAACCCAGGGAAGCCCTCGCGGGGCTGAGCCATGTACAACTGCTGGTCGGGCTGCTCGTCGCCTTGCATGAAAGCCGCCTCCACGTCCGCTGCGTAAATCTCCAGGTCGAACCTCTGGCAGACGGTGAAGAACAGCATAGTCGAGTTGCGGGCGACCGTAGGCGCGTCCGTGCACAGGTCGCCCTGAGCGAGACGCGGGTCCATGTTACCCCCGACGCAGAGTCGGGCCTTGGCCTTGACCGGCAGCGGGTGCTTGTCAGTCCGACGCGGCGCTTTCTTATCCCGGTACACAAACCGGCTGGGCAAGACGAGGTTGGCCTTGACCCTGCCCCTGACCGCCTCGGACTCCTCGATGGTGAGCACCTGACAGGATCCGTACTTCTGCCACTCGCTCCACTGCTTGGCCGCCGCCTCTCGGTAGAGCTCCCTGTCGGAGTCCTTGATGGCCCTCCAGTGGATCTCCCTGTCGGCTTGCTTGCGCTTGATGCTCTCGGTGGCGATGGAGGTCTGCATCGCTTCTATAGGAGCCGACCTCGAACGCTCTCTAGCGAACTCCTACTCGGATCCGGCCGCTGCTCCGCCGCCGGGCACGGCCGCCCGATCGCGCGAGGCTGTCCTCGGGGGCGGTCCTCCGGAGCCCACGTGCTCCTTGGCGGTCTGCAGGCGCTTGAAGGCCGGGCCGAAGTCGCCGCTGTCCGCCCCGTCGAAGGTCGCTCGCCGTCGTCGGAACCCGACGGGACCGCAGGGCTGCTCCTCCGAGGCTGACTGAGGCATGTCGGCTCGGTCGGCGGGCAGCACCTCGATCTGCTGCTGGGAGTTCGGGTCCTCAGGAAAGTTCAGCCTCATGTCGTCGTCGTCTGGGCTGTCGATGAACTCCCGCCACGCCTGCTCCATCTCGTCTGGCTGGACCTGGGGCTGGCCCGGCTCGGGGCGGATGTCCTCCACCGGGACCTCCTCCTGCTCGAGTGAGTCGCGAGCCCCGTTGAGCTCGGCCACGGCCTGGCCGATCTCGCCCCGACCGTTCGGGAACCAGACGTCGTCCGGAGCGAGTGCCTAGATGTGCTCCGGGGCCACCAGCATGGCGCGCCCCCACAGCGAGACCCAGGCGTTGTTGCCCTGGTGACCGATGACCACGCACGGCCCCCGCCAGATGCCCTTCTTGGCGTTGCGGTTGTGCTGCTCCTTCTGCTCTTTCTTCTTGACTTGGCGGAAAATGTAGCACATCTCGCCCACTGACAAAGGCGTGGCCACGGTGCGCGCGGGAGCCAGCATAGCTCGTCTGAGCTGGTCGTCGTTCTGCATCCGCATGAACGACTCGCGCGCCGCCGTCCGAACAGCAGATCGGCGACGACTCCTCTCGTCATTGGTGGCGAGACTGTGGGCACTGTAGTTGGCCGCGTCGTCCATCAGGTCGGCGGGCATCTTGGGATCGCGCCCCAGCACCCACTGTGCGGGGCTGAAGCCAGCCCGCCTCCTCAGCGAGTTCTTGGCGCCAGACACCATGATGCCTAGCGTCCGCATCTCGCGCTCGCCCCTGATCGACGAGTGCTCGATCGTCCTTGCAGCGAGCTCCCTCCACCAGGGTCCCTGACGTTCCACTCGACCGAGCTGCCAGTGGGCCTGTCCCGCGATAGGTAGCTGCACCGTGTCGAAAGACTGGAACAGCTCGCTGAGAACGCCACCGAACTCCCTCTCCATGTTTAAATGGACTCTGTCCGGGACGCCGGCCCAGGAGGCCCAGCACCTCTCGAAGGCCATAGCGAACTCCTGGCTGGTGTGGCGACCGATCAGCGTCGCGACGTGGAAGGTAGCGGCCGAGTCGACGATACTGAAGTACCAGTAGCTCTTGCCGTCGACGCCCCCGAGCTCGAAGCAATCGAACCCACGTCGTCGCCGAAATCTTGCACGAAGTGGAGGCGCGCTGGACTCCTCGCGCTCGGGCGCTGCTGCGAGCGGCACACTCCGCAGATCAGCCCCTTGACGGCCTGCACGACGGCCGACTGAGCGCCCTTGAGTCGCAGACTGTGGCCCAAGTCTCCATCAGACGGATGGCCCCAATTGACGTGGAGTCTCTTGAGCATGGCCAACTCGGCCGGCTTGCAGCAGGCTGCTGCTTTCTTGGTGAAAGTGACCGCGCCGACCCCGATCCTGCCGTCCACAGTCTCGTCGGCCTCCACGTCGCGAGCGTCGGCGAAGTCGTCTCCGCCGCCCATGGTGTCTGGGTCCCCAATAGGCTCGCCCGTCTCTCCCAGGGGCGCGGCGTCGTTCACGCAGACGGCGGCCTGCCCCTTCAACTCCGTCGCGATGAAGGCCGACGAGGAAGCGCCGCAGTCCACCTGGCAGGCGCGAGGCCCACCCTGCCGGCGAATGATCTGCTCGACGACGCGCGCCTCCGCTCGGCAGAACTTGGCTGGATAGACGCCAGACTTCCGCACCGCCACGTTGTCCCCGAACGTCTGGTCGTGGCGTGTGCGGCTGCAGGCACAGCGTAGCCGCTCGAACTCCTTGCGGGTGACGAGCAGCCTGGCGGGGTGCTCCCCGCCTTGCGGTGTCGAGCCCCGTATTCGCACAGATCGCACCTCACCTGGTACACGCGCTCGTCGGCAAGTAGCTCCATCATGATGCGCTGTGTCCAGATCCGGCTGGTGGCCGGGCTCTCGATCATGGCGGCGCCGCCTGAATCGAGCTGAGACCTGAAGAGGCCGCGGGCCAGGAAAAGGAATGGCCGCTCCGCGCGCCACAGTCGCCGCAGTGCCTGCTTGCCCTGCGGCGCGTGGAAGTTGAGGTGCGCAACGTTCGCGCAGTAGGTGCAGGGTAGCTCGATCGACGCGAACTTAGGCCTCGATGCGTAGCACCGCTCGTACGTCATCTCGAGGTCCTTCTGCTTGCGGAGGCCCCAGCCGCACTTACAGTTGAACACCTCCGTGGCTGTCATGTTGCGGCGCACTGCCGCCTCGGAATACCGCCTTCGCCTCCGAACACCTGCATGACGTCCACGCCGTGGCTCCGGACGGTGCAGATCTCCTTGACGTTCCTCATGTGGTCCGCCACGCCCTGCGCGGCGCTCGTCGCATACTGAGCAAACGGCTTGAGAGGTTGGGACAGCCAGTCCGCCGCGAGCACGGCCTGAAACGCAAAGGCGCTCAGCAAGCCCGTGACCTGGTAGAGTAGGTCGACGCGTTTGCCCTTCTTGATGTCTGGCCGCCGGCCCGAGGCCGGCGGCTGGCCCTGGCGGCTGCCGCCACCTAGGCCTTGTCGTGCGGAGACGCCACATCCATCTCCTGGTCGGTCTCGCCCGCCTTCTGGAAGCCGTGGTCGCCGGTGTCCATCTCGCGCTCCTCGACCGGCCTCGGGCGGCGGTGACCCGCCCAACTGCCTTGACAAGCTGAGGCCCGCTGGATCGTCGCCACCGGCGTCACCGACTCGTCGCCCAGGACCACCTCCTCGGCCATCACCGCCTCGATGGCAGTCTCGAGCTCTTCTGGCTCGAGCGGCCTCACCCCGCGAGCCTGGACCCGCCTGCCGAAGCGCGCCAGGAGCGGGCTCGCTCGGCCGGCGCCCAGCCCCAGCACCGCCCAACGCGCGTAACCCAAGTCGTCCTTAAGCACCCAGCGGTAATCCGCGGTTGGGTACTTGCCGAAGCGCATCTTGTCGTTCTCCGTGATCTGCTAGCTTGGATGGGCCACGTTGCTCGTGGCGCCGCGCGCAGGATGACGCGGAGCTGGTCGCGCGTCGCGTCGCGCACATCCAACTCGTAGCTTGCCACCTCCGCCTGTAGGCCCCCCATCCGCATGATGTAGATCGCTGGCAGGCGGGAAAAACTCGGCGTCGGCGCGTTCGAGCAGCTGGCCTCCGGGATCGTCGCCCTGGGAGATGTCACGCATTTCCGCTGCGACGGGGGCGTGAACTCCGGCCGCTGGTTCGTGAAAAGCTGCGGTGGCTGGATCTGCCACGGCGCGCGTCGTAAAAGCTGTTGGAGCCTGAGATGAACTCGAGCCGGATGGCTGCGGTGATGATGCCGTTTGACGACTCCGTGCTGATGGCTGATCTCGTAGCTCACTACCGCTTGCCTGCTGCTGAAATCGGACACGATGTGGCCGAGACTCGCTGTCTGGTTTAGCTCCTCGTCCTGTGCGATCGGGTTGCATGATCTATGCTGCGCTGGCGGACGTAGGAATAACTCCCCATGCCTCATCCTCCGACCCCGATAGTGACTGACGCGATGGAATGCATGCGCGCATGGCCTGGCGCACCTGCTGCTCGAACAGTTCAGCGCCGTCGAGCTCGTCACAGTCAGTCTCCGACTGAGGCTCGTCGGCCTCCGAGGCGACCCGTTGGCCACAGCGCTCGGGCGCTACCGGCTTGGCGGCGCTGGCCACGGCTGTCTCAGCGTGGCAAGTCGAAAAACGATGCAGCCGGATCTCGGTCTTGGCGTCCGAGACGTCCGACACTGGCTTGTAGCTCGGCGCGAAGCCTGTGATCTCGAGCGTCGGGTGTCCAGCGCGGCTCAAGCCCATCTGGGCGCCGTGCTCGTTGACGGATTTGATGCCAAGCTCGTTGCCCCCTGCGCGGTAGACAACGCCCAGCTCGCTCTGGGCCTGGCGGCTGAACAGTCCAGGCACGGCGCTGCGCACGATGCTCATGCGCACGGCGAAGGCCTTGCCATTCACCGAGCAGGGAATCAGCGCGGCCTTGAGGCTGCACACCACCTTGGACGCTCCGAAGCGGAACAGCTCCTCTGGGCACTCGATCGGCTGGACGTTGAAGGCCGCCAGCTTCTCGTTGATGTCGTTGCACCAGTCCAGGCCGCCGACGCACCGCGAGCAGGCAGCGTCGAAGGTCAGCCTGCCGCCCGACTCCTTGAGTAGGTCTTCGACGCTGATGTAGATGAGCGCCGAACCCGTCGCGGCCACGTGGCACTGGTTGTCCTTGTTGATGTAGAACGAGGCTGCCGTCACCTCTGGTACGTTGCGCAACGCGTTGCCGAAGGTGACCGATCTCGCGACGCTCTCGGCTGCTCACGCCGGTAGGCCGCCGCGACCGTCATCTCCGCGACGTGGGGCTCCTGCGCGTCGCCGGCCCCGTCGTTCGTAGTCATGTTCGTATTGTGACGTCCCTTTCACGGAATGTGGGCCCTCGCATTGGGGTCATTCTTCTTGGAGCACTGCGGGTCGCCGCGCCAGTAGCCCTCCTGGCCACACGCTCCACAGTGCGTCCTCGCCTTCATCTTGGCGACCTTGGAATCGCCCTTCTTCGGCGGATGTCCGCCGTCTCGCTTGGCGAAGTAGCCGCGCGACTGCTCGACCCCCTTCAGCGTGTCTTTGGCGCGCACCAATTTCTTGGTGAAGAAAGCCACCTGCTCCTCCGCCTCGTCTATCACGTCCTGCAGCTCGTCCGGCAAGTCGTCGTCGTAGCCCTCGGAGCTGTCGGTGGACGCGCCGTCGTTCTCGGCCTCGTCATAGGCCTCCGTGGCGCACACCTTCTTGTGGTCCTTCTTGTGACCTCCGTAGCCGCCTTGGTCGTGGCGGTGCTCTTTGCTGCCGTCCACGACCGATACTTTGGTTAAATTGATCATGAGCTGCTCCTGGATCTTCGTCGGATTGAACGCGTTGCCCACGCCGTTAAGCACGCTCGCCTTGCGCTCCAGTGGCAAGCGGGCGCCCTTGATGCACAGGTCGGCCATGACCTCGTCGGGCACCTGTATGTCCTTAGCTCTCAGTTTCGTCGCCATGCTGTTGCAGCGATCGCTGAAATCGCGGATCTCCTCAAACTTGTGCCGGATGCATGCCGGCTTCACGAACGTCTCCAGGAGCGCCGGTAACTCCAATACTTCGATATCGGGAAAGCGCTTCCCGAGGTACTCCAAGAAGACCTCCACCGAGCCGTCGGCCCTGACGGTCCCTACCTCGCACGCCTCCTCGGCCTTGCCCTTGAGGCTGGCAAAGGAGCGTCGCGCCCTGCCTGGGCAGCTTGACCTCCGTGCCAATCTGCCAGGTGGCGACTTCTCGGCTGAACTTCTTCATCGTCTTGCTCGAGCCGTCAAAGACGGACACGGGAATCTTGCCCCCGCTGT